CGCCTCTGATTGGCCATTGCATTCCTAAGCGCAACAGAATTGTGTTTGATTGGTTATAATGCACAACACTGTAAAGACACCTAAAAGGAAATACGGTGCAACATGAGCAAATCTTCATTTAATTCGCAGTCAACACTTTCTATTCATTTGCACTTTGTTAGCAGCAGACGTCATAGATTTAATTTGTTTGTGCAGGTGCATTTTTGTCCAAATTAGTGGCATTTTTGCCCCAAGACCCCGTGGCCCAGCCTTACACACGCTTCCCCTATGGGGACCAGCAACTGAAGGTGAACTATCCCTTTAACTCTTCTTAACTAAATTATTCAATAAAATGTCTGTCATCATTTACTCACTTTCATGTCCTTCCAAACACATTAATAGAATTGTGTTTATTTTTGGAACACTAATGAAGATATTCACTCATACTTTTTGTCCATCCACTGAAAGTCCATGCAACCAAAACCTTAACACATCTAGAAGTACAAAAAACTTTGTAAAATCAATCCATATAAATCGAGCATATAATCCAAGTCTCCTGAAGAGGCATGATTGCTTTATGCGATGAACAGATTTAATTTTACATATAAACATTAACACACATACATAGAGCACATCAAACATGGTAAACATGGAAGCTCAAATGTGATTATTTGACACTTTATAATAACTTACTCTGCATCTGAAATGGCATAATCTCTTGATTGGGTAATTATTTTGAATAAGAAATTACTTTGGGACTGCTAAAAAGTATGTTTTATATAGTAAAATGTGTGCTACTTTCGCCATGTTGTCATTGTGATTTACCAGCATCAGTTGCGTCACTTCACTGGCATTCAGAAATCCTCTCCTGTGGCCTCATGAGATAATAATTGGATGTGCACTTCAGAATCTCGTCTGAAGTAGATCATCTGGGTACTTTTTGCCTACTCTTTTATGAGTACTGTGAATTCTGACATACTGCTTTTGTCACATTCTGCAGCCTTAATTTTTGATGCGTTAAATGGTATGAGGGTGAATTGAATACTTTCCGTACCCACTGTATATATATATATATATATTATTTTTATTTTTTATTTATTTATTTTTTTTAAGTACAGTAACTTCCATTCATGGTCTTCTGTGAATTTTTTTTTATTAAAAGTGTATTTATTTGAGCTATTTTTAACATATTTTCAGTCTATTATTTAATAAGTTGATGTCGTATTAGAGATGATGTTGTACACTACCATTCAAAATTTTGGTATTGTTATTTAAAGAAGTCTCTTATGCTCACCAAGGCAGGGCTCTACGCTTATTTTTCTTTTTAACTTAAAAAATTTAGGAGCACAGTCAAAAATTTAGGAGCACCTTCTAATCAATAATCAAAAATTTGATCAAAAATTAGCCTTCCCATTACGAGGTGATATTTGACTCCTTAAAGTGATTTACAGTGGAATTTTGTTTTTAATGGCATTTTTCTAACTTTATTAAAAGTATGTAATCTTTTATGTCAAATTTTTTTTAAAATTATATTTTATAAGCTTTTTAAAAATTCTTATTAAAACCACAGAATAAGAACAAGTAGAATAAGAAGAATAAGTTACTAATCAAATGAAATCAGTATTAAAATTAATATGTACAGAGGTGGCACAGAAGAACACAAAAGTGGCATGTAGGTGTATTTTTAGACATCTAATGAGGATCAGAGGTGGCATGAGTGCAATTAAATCCATAAATTCATGTTAAGATTAATGTTTTAAAAAATGTTGAATATAGAAATATTAAATGATTTAAAGAACTGAAAAGATTCTTTTAAAATGAAACAAACTGCCAGCAGGTGGCGACAAGTCACTGATTTTATCACTGAATCATTCATTCAATTGATTCATTCGAACGGCTGATTCATTCGGGAATGAAGCAATGGACAGTATTTATGAATGGGTAATCATGAATCACTGACTCACAAGATTCCTTTAAAAACGCATTTCATTCATAAACGAGACACCGCTGTGTTTGAATGGAGATGCGCAGCGGCTGAGCTGTGACTTTGTTTTAAACTATTTTCAACGACGAAATAGAGCAAAATCAGACAATAGTGTTATAGTCAGACAATGTAAGTCACTTAATATTAACTTATTGTCTATTGAACTGTTGTATTAAATCAGTATCACATTTACAAACTCCCTTAAAAATCATTAAAAGCTGTCACTCATCTTAGCTCATCACGATCTCACATTTATAATCAATGAAGTTATAATTATACAATTAAGTCTCTACACTGCAGTCACAGTCGGTGGTAGTGTGAGGAGCGTGGAATGAGGAGACCAGGAGTACGAAACAAAGGGATTTAGTCTTGTCATAGGGAATCACACATAGCACGAGGAGAAGACATCAACATACAATTCCAGACAAGGGAGAACTGAACGGGCTAGAACTAAATAGGGTAGATAACGAGGGGCAGACAGGTGATGAGGATAACTAATAACAAGGAACAGGTGATACTAATAATGTGAAAAGGAACTGGAAGGACCAAATAAGGAAAACAGGAACTCAACAGGAACATAGACGTGACAACTGCACAATTAATCTCTTATTTACACCCTGTCTACACTGTGCTTATGAAAGGATTCATGAGATATGTCTGTGATACATTACTCAACGCTGCAAAAACAAGTAGAAACCTTTGAAGCTCCCCTCAGCGATCACAATCACAAGTATGATGAAGATCTGGTCAGTCCACTGGTGCTCCTAAATATTTTTTCATAGTCACACGCAGTAGTTTTCAGTTGCAAATGCAACTGAAATGGTAGCACTGTAGAGCCCTGCAAGGTTGTATTTATTTGATCAAAAATACAGTAAAAACAGTAATATTATAGAAATTATTACAATTTAAAATAACTGTTTTCTATTTGAATATATTTTAAAATGTAATTGACTCCTGTGATGTTAACGTTGAATTTTCAGCTTTAAGTGTCACATGATCCTTCAGAAATCATTCTAATATGCTATTTTAATGCTCAAGAAACATTTCTGATTATTATCAATGTTGGTATAGTGTGTGTATTTGGAAAAATGCACACACATAGGACGGGTTCTTGGTTCAACATCCTTAAGCCTCTGACTGGTTAACAGCAGTGTTACTCCAGTAACTACGAAAGGATGTTGATTCAGGAACATGTGCTGCTTGTGTAAATTACATTAAGCATGCATGGACACACTCTCACACACACACAAGATACACAACATGTGGCTTTGAAATTGTACCCATCTGAGAGGTCTTCTGAAAGAGGCATTGACACATGGAGCCTGCAGTACATACAAACACTTCAGTCACTGGTGACATAGCCTTAATATGCCCCCATCTCCCCAGCTTTTACACAGCTTGAGAAACGCTGTCAAAATGTCATTGAAACATTTTGTACTCACCATAGAAAACAGGCAGTTGCATGCTAGAGTGCAGCGAAACAGCAGCCACTCTGTGAATGGAACAACTGGTTCTTATGGAGGAGGGTGACGTAATGTTGAATTCAAATAAGGATGATGTCACTGCATCAGACCAGCATCAGCCAATCAGCTGTGCGCATGAAAAGAGAGAGAGACACGCAGGTATAACAGACATGTTTACGCTCAAGTCTTTCAAAATCCACCTGCACTGATATTTTCAGAGGGATGACTGTCAAAAAAGAGACTTTTCTGCCTCGGCTTTCTAATTATACCCATCATCCCAATATCTCGCCATCAATATATCCCCCTAGAAAATGATTTCATGTTCAATCCATTGTTCTTGTTCTTTTTTCCTGTTGAAATGTCCTACAGTACTGGTCAGCAGCATATACTGTGTTGTGGCATACTATCAGGTGTCCCTGTCAGGCTTCTTAAACTAGTTTAAAGGGACAGTACACCCCAAAATTCTGTCACTATTTACTCACTATTTACCTCATGTTGTTCAAAACTTGGCTTTGATGGCAGATGTGGATCTCAGAGGGCAGAACGACCGATGTAAAGCTGAAATATGTATTACACAATTTAAGTATAGTAAATAACACGCTGCAATTAAATTTACATTATTTAAAATTTTATTCAATTTGAAATTGATACAGTACACTGAAAATGAATCAATATGAAAAAAAATACTTTGAAGTTGATGGACAAACCTATAAAATAAACTGATTCAAAATTTAGACTTCTGATTCTGTAACTGAAGCCTAACATTATACTAAAAAGGAAATAAACACTGTAACCAACACTGTTTGTAAAATTATCATATTGCAAAGGTCAGCCTGGAGAGAA